TGGCAGGGCACAGCCCTTTCCCAGTCGCATCAGGCCGGGCAAACAGCCACTAGCCAGCCAGCAGTAGGACAAGGCGGGCAGAAAATTTGGGGTTTTCCACCAGGAACAGAAGCAGATCTACCTACAGGATGTTGGTATCAGGAAAGTCACAAATAGCATATAGGGATGGGCATAAAGCAAGAAAAGTATTTCACTCTGTGCATGGAGAAAACATATTGTGCCTCAGAAGTCTGGCCAGACCATTCCAGATGGATCATCACCCAGCCAAAGCAAAATCCAGATCATTAGGCTGATCCACCTTTTTTCCCCCAACTGTCTCCCATTCTGGAAAGGCTCTGCCGGAAGAACATGGTCTGGATCCACACGCTGACCATGCTCTAGCTCCATGCACAGAAGCATGTGTGCTACAATCTGTGTACAGACCAACCTATGCTGCCTGATCCGTGCATGGATCCATACATAATACCTATTATGCTATTTTGTTTCAGAGTAAATAACATTATACAGACTGCAGAAAGGGAACAAAGAAAAGTAAAGTAAACCCAAAGTAATAAAAGCATGAGATAAGAAAAAAGGAAGTGCAGCTAAATCTAGTTGACACCAATACCATTCAGTGTACCTTTCCATGCATTTTTCTCCTCGAAAACTACCCTTGCTTCTACCACATCTATACATCACTTCATTTGCTGTTGTTCTATTTGTCACTTCTTTCTTTCTCAGAATCTCACCAACTTCCATCTAACCACAGCTTCCTCAGTCTTCCATTTTATCTTGACCCATTTACTCTTTCCTCATATATCATTTTACAATATGATCCTTATTCGTTCTCTTTAATGATCAAACTGTCTCAGCGTATATTTCTTTTTTATTCAATCCACATGCATTCAGCATCCATATACAGTATTCATGACTTTACCTCTTCTTGTTTCACCATACAACATTATTCAATGTTTATGTTTTTCCTGACATTCAGCTCTAACTTCCAAATAACCAAGTGGGCAGAAGCACGTTCTAATATATAGCCATTTCCATTTCTTTTGACAAACTTCATTCCTAGCCACATTATTACCTTTTATTTTTGCACATGTAAACTAGTCACATAAATTCATCTACCTTTTCCTCATCTATGTATAACTTGTAATCATTCACTCCTTCTTCCTTGTCAAACACAGCTACTTTGGCCTTTGATACATTAATTTTAGATCCATTATCCTCATTGCATCATACAATCTATCCAACATTCACTGCAAATCTGGTTGACTGGTTCTCAGCCAACAACATGACATTATCTGCATAAAAATGTACGTGTATTTTCACATTCCCAAGCAACACATCTCTAGAGTAACCACAAATATTCCTTACACAATTACCCATAAATGCATTAAACAACCAAGGGGACGTTACAGATCTTTTTCTTATTCCCTGCTCAGCGCTGAACCATTTGGTAAGTATTCCATTTATTCTTGTGCGTATTTTATTTTCTTCATATATACTGCTCTTATAAAGATTCAGCAACAATCTTCAATTCCATACTCAGACATAACATTCCACAATTCAAAGTTGTTTATCATACATTTTTCTAAATCAACAGATCTATAGTAAACTTTCTTTCTTATAGTCTTATATGTCTCAATGACTTGATGAGTAGCAAAATTCTACCTCACACACCCACTGCTGCACTGCACTTCCCAAATTTTCCTTGTCACCTTTCTATCATAATTCTATCAAACACCTTCCTGGATACATTTAACAAACCAGTTCCTCTCTAGTTGTTGCAGTCGTTCTTGCTACCGTTCTTTTCATGCAGGGGAACAATAACAAACATTCTTCCATTCATCAGGTACTGATGCGGCCTTCACACATACATTCTAAACAAGTATCTTTCGATCTTGACTGTTCCTTGCTCTCTTTTGGCTACACTCTTAGTAATTACCTTTCTCTCACCCTCATTTTTGCAGTAATATTCTCTTATATGGATTTTTTTCATGATCCACAGCCTCTTTTACTTCATCTTTCCGCCCAGGATGCTTTTTCAGAGTTTCCATTAGTGTAACTGCACACACTTATGTGGCCCTCTGTAAGATAATTCTTTTCACACTGTTCCAAGCAGCTTCCCCACCCACTTTCCATTCATTTTGTTGGGAAATTAATCCATGTTCCATTACTTTTTATATAGGACTCATACTTCCTTTCCTACAGTTCCACTTTCACTTCTTTCCTTTTCTTCCATGCCCATTTTCCCCCAATATCCACTACCAAAATGTCCCATATTCAAAACCCTTCATCATTCTTGTATCCTTCAGTTATTCTCTCAGTCATTCATCATAAACAATCTAATACATCATGCACTTAGATTTATGTTCATTCCTTTGCCATGTGTGTACATGAATAGATTTATGCTTACACTATAAGCATATATTCACAGGTCGCCATTCTCATTTATTCTTGGGTTGATGAATAGTCAAATCATTTTTCTGTACTGTCTGGACTCATTCCCACATCTAATACATCATGCACTTAGATTTATGTTCATTCCTTTGCCATGTGTGTACATGAATAGATTTATGCTTACACTATAAGCATATATTCACAGGTCGCCATTCTCATTTATTCTTGGGTTGATGAATAGTCAAATCATTTTTCTGTACTGTCTGGACTCATTCCCACCCATCCATTCATATCACCTAACAGAACAATATTTTCTCCTGAACTGCACTCATTCAGAAACTCATCTCTAACTCTTCCATGATCATCATTCACTGGAGTGTAACACACAGGTATAACCAATCTGTGGATTCCTACTTTCAAATAAACTCACAACAACTTAATGATACCAATTCATATTTTATGACACATTTTAACCCTTTCATAATTCAACCTACACTCACTTCCCTGCACGAATCATCCACTTCACTACTCCACAAAATTATCACCTTTGTTCAGATTTTATTACATTTATTTATGTATTAAATTCTTCCCCTTTCTCTTAGTTTCACAGACACATACCTGTTTTTCTTTCTTTTGTTTCATTCGTTCTTTCATGCCCTTTAACATTCACTGCTCTTACATTCCAAACTGCAATTTTCCATATGCCATGATCATCACCTCATGGACCTGTTGACCAAAGCCATGATACATGGTGGACCAATTAGCTTTGGTCAGTCAAGGTCTTCACATAATGCTTTTTAACTAGATTACCTGCCTTAGTCCTATCTGTGCCACATACAACATCCTCTGTTAGTGGTAAGGCCAGTGCCAGTTAGTTTTGGTACATTTTGGCCCGTACGTGTAACAACAGCCCAATATTACTCCAAACACGCTCCTGGTATTCTATGCAAAATAGGATCTCTAATCTCTAGACTACCTTGCAAGCCAACATTCTGTTGCCCACATCCCACCAACTTGGGGATACATGCAGTGTACTGACACACCTGCAGAAGTTTGTTAACTATTTAAAAACTGTGGCAACAACTGACATTTGAGCATCAATGTGTTCAACTGTGATGGGAACACTGGAAAGTGAACATGCAGCAGTAGCTTCGCCCTGGGACAGATCCCCAAGCTCTGTTCTTCACTATGGGAAGACAATCTGGAGTTTGCAAGTTCATCACAGCAAAAGAAAAATAATGCAGGTACTATGAGAGAGGGGGAGGCAATAGGGTCCCCCTCCAGAGCTAATCACAACTGAGGTGAGGGGGAGATGGTTCTGCCACCAGAAATCAAGTAAAATGAACTCAGAAGAAGCAACAGTTCAGGGTCTCCTCCCCACAGCTGGGCTTCAGGCATATTTCTCCCCAGAGTCACAAGCTCTGAACAGCCCTCCCACCTGACAATGATGAAGCAGTGCATCCCCGTGCACCAGGTCCTACACACGCGTTCCTTCTTTGCCCTTCTTGTACCCTTTTCTAAACCTGGCCCCAGTTCAGTGGGTCAGCTGGTGCAGGGCAAACAACGGAACTCAAGCCCACCCCCCTCACTCGGCCTGGAAGGGAGGAGGAGACATGCGCGGAGGGAGGAGCCAGCAGCCTGGCACCGTGCCAGTCTGGAGCTGCGAAGCACGCAATGAAGGGAGGGGGACTGGCAGTGGCAGACATGGAAAACCTGCGGGAGGGGCCGCTGCACTGGGGGGAGCACACCCAGAAGGCCCCTGCCCCCCTCACGTATCTGTTCTGCTAGGGAAAAACTCAGCCTGGCAGCGACCCCCCCTCCGCTTGCCCTTCACCGGCAGCACTGCAAAGCTTTCAAGGACACAGCTGCGCCCTCCCCCCGCACCGAACAGTGACAGCCAGCGCCTCCCCCCGCCTCCGAACATGCACCAAGCAACGAAGCCTCCCGCACTGGACAGGCCGCTCAAGCGAGGGGGGGTGAATGCAAAGTGCCTGGAAAACAAGCGCCTCCTCTCTGTGAATCATTTCCGCCGCCCCATTTTACAAACGGGGCGGGGGGGACTAAGCCGACGGAGGGTGGCAGAAGAGGCTGGATAATTGCACTAGCCCCCGCCCTCCCCCGTGCCCGGTCCCAGCTACAGGTGTGCGCGCGGAAAGGCGAGAAGCAGGGCGATGCCCCCAACGCCCAGCCGTGCCCTGGAGCCTCCGAAGAATCCCTCCCGCGCGCCCCATAAAATCTCTCCTTGCCTGTTCCGCTTCCCTAAAACCTTATCCTGATCGCGCAACGCCTCTCCTCGCGCGGGGATTAACGGGGGGGGTGACACGGGGCCCCCCTCGGTCATGCCAGGCTGCCATTTTTGCCGCTTCGCCCTCCTCCGTTCGCAAGAGAGCGCAAAAGCATTCCGCTTTGCAGGAGAATTTCCTACAGGGGAGGGGGAATGGAAAACCCCGACAGCTTCCCCCACCCCAATCTTTGCGCGTGTCTCTTTTGTGCTTGCAAAATCCCGATGCATCTTTGCTAAATAAATAAATAAATAACACTGTACAGCACGCTCGGGTGAGACACGTCTGCAAAAATGAAAAATAATAATAAAAGCTCCCCCCCCACGCGCATGTATATTTACAGACGGACGCACACACACACACACACACACACACGCAAACATTGCAAAGCATGCCTGCACAAACGCGCTTGGGGGCAGCACAGTCGCACTCTTCCCCCCACGCCAAGCTGCTTTCCTCTCCCCCCTATAGGTACGTGAAGTTCAAGTTCGCCGAAATCCGGGGGGGGGGGGAGTGCTTAAGGCTGGGCCAATCCTAACGGGGGAGGGGTCACCCCCTGTCATCTCGCTCCCTCTGCTTTTCCCGTTCTGGTGCCAGGAGTGAGTCCCTTAAACTTGAAGGGGGGAGAGAAGCTGAAGCCGTGGCAGCAGCCCCCCCGGTTAAGAAAGGAGCGCTTGAAATTTCCGTGCATGAAGTCAAATGCAACAAGCGCCCGGTAGGGGAGGATTGCTGCTGCAATTTTGGTATGCCTGTAAAATGCAAGCGGGGGGGGGGGAAGGGGGGACCCGCCAGCCTCTCTGCACCAGCCTCGCATGTCAAAGCAGATTACCCTCCCCGGGGCGGAAATGCGGGAGGGTCTGGCCCTGGCATCGATGACCCTCCCTCCGTGCAAAGTGTCAACTGCACCCCCGGCCTTTTCGGGGTTTTACCTTGAACCCCGGTGTTCCTGCTGCAGCTGCTGCTTCCTTCCCGGGAGGGGGGAATCCTCCTCCTCCTCCTTCTTCCGCGCTCCTTGCCTTGCCCAGCCTGTGGAGGAGGTCTCCCCCCCCCCCCCCCCCCC